ATTCGCATCTCCAACAGCTGCCGGACCTTCATGGGGGGCTTCGTGGTGGACGCGGTGCTAGTGTGGACGGCGGTGCGCGTCTCCCTCCTCATATGCTGCCTCTTCCGGACGACGACCATATGGTTCATTCGCATCTCTGACAGCTGCCGGACCTTCATGCGGGGCTTCGTGGTGGACGCACTGCTAGTGTGGATGGCGGTGCGCGTTTCCCTCCTCATATGCTGCCTCTTCCGGACGATAACCATACGGTTGCCCAACGGGGTGGACAGCGCTACGCAAGGCCACCAGCTACGGATACAGCGGCTGGTGTTCCCTTGCATCAAACAGAGCTTCCGGGAATCGTGATGTGTGGAGGAGAGCAAGACGACGACCTGTACGGCTCGAGCTTGTACGCTGCAACGACTGTCCTGTACGTGCCCCATGGAACAGCATCTCTGGGACACACATGTCCGCGGGCGACCGCCGATCTGCTGGCGCCTGACCACCGCCCTCTAGTCATGTCTCGCACACGCTCCCTGCAGATTACGGCTGCGCGTCAGTGGGGGTTGATCGGCGACTTCACGAGAACCGGCACCGCTACGGCAACGACGGCAGCCGCAGCCATGGCGATCAGCAGTCCACGCACGACACCCTTCTGCGATCGGGCGGCCGGTATGTTCTCGGCCAGACACAGAATGAGCAGTCCTCCCTGTTTGCACACAGCGAGCCGATGGTTAACACGGCGGAACCGTTGGGCGCCGTGTACAATGCGTCGTCTCAGCAGTCTTCGAGTAATGTCCCGCTCGGCACGGCTCGTGGAAGCACAGGGCCGACCGGTGATGACACCCGGGGAGGAGCACTGCGCACCAATCGAGGTGCAACACAGTTGTCCGGTCCATCGACCGCTGCAACGCCCAGGTCCGATGCACGTGATTCGCGAGGCAAGGCTGCTGAAACCGCGAAGGAACGGCGTCGAACACCGTCGAAGGTCGGAAATCCGAAGCAAGCGGCAGCAAACTTGCTGTCAGGTCTCATGGTTGCCGGGAGTACTGAAGTCGACGACAACACAGACGATGAAGATGCTGAAGAGCCTGAAGCGGCCAAGGGGAAGCGTCGCAGGAAATGCACAAAGGCCGATAACTTTAGCGAGGAAGAATGTATCGCTCTCGTACATGTCAAGGGGGAGTATGACATAGAGATGGAGAGGACATTGGTAGGGGTGGGTGGGAAAGCGAAATCGAAGGAAGCAAAGTGGGGGAACATTGTGGAGAGGCAGAGGGCGAACGGGGTGATCAAGAAGCTGGACGATGTCAAACGAAAGTGGGAGAATTTGAAGTCCGCGTATAACCGCGTCTCCTTCCACAACAGGATGAAGTCGGGATCGAAGAACTTCTTCGAAATGTCTACGAGCGAGCGCAAGGCAGATAACATCCATATGTTCATCAGGGAAGAGGTCTACAAGGTGACGGATCAGTACTATCACGATGATCCTTCGGCTATGTCGAAGCACATTCTTGATTCGGGGAACCCGATCGAGGAGGACTTCGGCGCTGCACCATCAAGAAGCCCTGCCGACACCAGCGCTGGCAGCGAATCCATTGCCGCAGCTGCACGAGCTGGCGCAGCTAGGAGAAGAACCAATGCACGTGCCGGTGCCATGACGGAGTTGAAAAGCATGCTTGTGGATTACAGTAACCTGACGGGAGAAGCGGCGCGTGATGCAGCGA